AGATAAGCTGCAGCTCCTGCAGTCCCTGACAGGGATGTCTGTGTAGAACCATATGTGGTACGTATCAGCTGCAGCAGCGTGTCAGATGCATGCAGCCCAGGAGAAAGGGGTAACCCACAGAGGGGTCCTGGGAAGGGTGAAGGGCTGCTGAGCAGGCCATGGATTTGGCACACAAGGCTGGAGGCCTCAGGTGTCTGTGTCTTCACTCCTCCAGTGAGGAACACGTGGCCCTTCTAGCCCACAAGCAATTCTAGCTTCTCCCATCTGATTCTCCTCACTCACACCAGTTCTCTTTAAAAACAAACTAACCGCTCCCTGCTTGTACTCTGTTGCAGCGAGCAAGTACTAAGTTGCACTCTAAGAGCACATTCTGTGGACCTACCACTGATAATGATGATTCTTTTTGGGGGGGGCTTCTAATATCTGGGTTCTGATTGCTAGAAGTTTATTCCAATCTGTGCTATACAGTCAGCTGATTTGACCACATACTCCTTCCTCCCGTCCCTTATGTGGTAGAACAGTAATTGATACTCACCATTTAGCAAAGAGGAAATGTGCACACACATGCTCTTGCTCGTCTGTGCACTCGCTCGCTCTCCCATTATTTGCCAGAGCTGTAGTGATCCCTGTTGTACAGCTAAGGGCTTTCCTACAGCTTTAAATAATAGGGAAAACTTGCTGTCCTGCAGTACCCTTTGCAGAGGTATTTTCACTGAAGTGGTTTTACAGTACCGGGCTCGCAGAGCCTCCGTGCTGGTGAAGGAGAGTGAGTACCAACTCCTTTGAATTCACTGCTGCTTTTTGTTGAAAGGTTCTTCTAGTTCACCTACAGATGAAGACATGGAGACTGAGGCAGTCAATGAAATCCTAGAGGATATTCCTGAACATGAAGAGGATTATCTGGATTTAACACTGGAGGAAGAGGAACAGATCATTCATGAATACTTATCCTATATACAAGTACCACAGCATTAAATCCCATTATATCTACTTCAGTTATATGTACTTACCTTGACAAATTGAGTTTGGATTATAAATGCACCTTCAGCTTATCTCTTACTAAATGCCTTGAATTCAGTTAAACTATAGGTGGAACACTTAATTCCTGCTTATTTATAAATCTGCTTAAAGCCTACATTTGTGATACATTGTAATTTATTGTCATAGCAGAAAAATAGAAACATTTATTTTCAGAAGAAAATTTAATAGAACTAAACTATATTTTTATTGTGAAATAAGCTTATGCATTTAGTATTCAAGTAAAGAAGCATTTCTATACCATTTTAGAATACCAGCTTTAAAAAAATAGTGAGTTTGTAAATGGGAAACCTATCTCATGAGGTTATAGAGGTATCAACTTCCAAACTGTTTTTTTTCTTCTGAAAGATTTCTAAGAGACATTTGTGTCTGTTGTGCATGGATTTATACTGTGTTCTGCTTGTCACTTCATGCAGGTGTTACACAGGCAATAAAGGTAACTATGAGCTGCTTCTGCTCTCCAAGAGTCTTCTGTGCTTTGGCTTTAAAACCAGTGGGAACTACGTCGCAGAGCCCAGTGCCCAGTGTAGGGTATTTCCTTTTAGAACTAAATAACCAGTTTCCCCGAGCTGCTCCTCTTAACCTCCTGCAGGTGTGTGGTTTAAGATGGATGGATTTCATGGGGAGTACAAGATTTTCTTTCATCAACTGTGGAACAAAACATGGCTCAGGCACTGTCTCAGTAGTTGTACCCCGCTTAAGCATTCTGGAGAAATATTTGGGGGGTTTTTAGCGTGTTTTATAACATCCCCTTTTCTGCTATGTAAGCACTCCTCTCCACTGGGAACGGAAGTTCCCCTGCTGGTCAGCTTTTCTTAAAAATAGTTTCTTTACTTTCCATGGCTTCAGTCTCACAGCAGAGGGAGCTCAAGTCTCGTCTGCACCAGACGCAGGGCTGGAGTTGGTGGGAGCAGCAGAGGTCCCCGCTGCTGCTGGAAAGGGAACCGTCTCTCTGGTCACAGTTTATTCTTACCCGGCATTTATTGGTGGGGAAATGAGGGTTTGAACGTTAGGGCGAGCATGATACTGGAGGAAGGAGAGCTTTGGCCTGTGAAATGACTGCTCAGTTCTGGTGGATGGCTTGGATTTTTTTCCTGGCTACCTTCCTTTCAGCAAAGAGCAGGGAGTGATCACACAGGTAAGGAATTACTTGTATTTCATACTTCTGCATCAAGACAAGTGCTACAAAAGTTAAGTAGTCGTGTATCTTCTCCCAGAAGGCTGAAGCACTTCTAAAGCCAGTAACACGAGCTTCTGAGGAAAAAAACAGATCCAGCAACCATTATATCCTGTTTCTCTTTAGGAGAGCACTGAGGAACCACTGGACAAAAGGCAGAGCAAAACTAGAATATATGAAAGAACTGAAAATTAGGAAAAATATACAAAGTGAGTTTTAATAAGAAGTAGGCAGGAAAGCACAAGTCTATTCCTTCAGCCAGAGGGCTTCCCAAACCTACTGCCATTACCTTATGCTAGCCTGGAGGCATGCATCAACTGCAGCGTGGGGCTGTACAGGCTATTTCTCCTCTTTAAAGTGGCTTGCACAGCAAACTGGCAGTGACAACTTAAGAAGTGAATGTTTGTCCTTGGGGAATTTAAAATTAGCATCATAACATGCAGTGCTTGTCAGAGAAGCCATTCCTCAATGATGTAATTCTGCCAGCATCCCCTAACCCCCCCTGAGTAGCTGTATGTGCAGTTTATGTGATCAGCAGGGCAGGAGGTGTTGGCTAAAAGTTTTAAGTTAATTTTGACCATGTATTTGAAGACATTGATACGTTTAGCAACAGGCAGAAGTGGTAATGACTCACTAATGCCACTCTTTACAAGATCTATGTCTATTAAATCCATTTGCTGATTCCCTGTGGAGCTGCTGTATGGCCAGATGAGCTCTCACATCTAATGTACTGTGGGCAAAGTTTTAAACAAAAAGTATAGCCCAGACCATCTGTACCACCCTGTCCTGCTGTTTTTCTTCTTAAGCAAAATATCAATAAAATTAGCTGCATAGCAAGCCATCACCCCAGCAACCAAGAGCTACCTTCTCATAAACATTTCTCACAGGGCCAGTGCAGAGCTATGACTATGGTGGAATTAAGTCTACACTATGCAGATGACCTCCCAAATTAGCCTCTCTTGGTAGGCACTTAACATAATTAACATGCTGTTTCATACTAGCTGCGGAAGTCTGCCAGGTAAGAGCTAGCAAAGCTGCTCATCAGGAGAGGCAAGCCATGTACAGCAGCAATGACAGACCTGGCCCAATGATGCAATGTTATGGTTTCAGAGTAGGGGTCTGCAGTGCCACCGTGATGAGGGCTGAGCTTGTCATCCATACTTTCCCTTAAGACTGGGTCACTCCTTCCCCTTGAGTAGGGATACTGAGCTCTGGCAGTCTGGTGCCTGGCAGGAGGCAGGACAGCTCTACAGCATGCCTGACTCCAGCCCCAGAAGTGTTTCCAAAAGGATATGTTTGGGGTGTTTTTCCATATTTCATCCATTACTAACTGCTGTGCATCTGCAGCCAGCCCAATCCCCTCTAAATGACAAGAAAATAAGAACTAGACAGTTGGCTTTAGATGCCACATGTTTATTAGTCCATTCTAAAAAAAAGATCACAGCATTTTTATCTTGCTGTAGTACAGAATAAATAAAGCCATAAAAATAAAAACATGTGGTTAGATAGTTTTATACTGGTTCTACAAAGAGTTATATCTGCAAATAGAAAAATATAAGAACCCTTGTTTATTCATGGCTCAGTGGTTATCCGAGGGGAATGAACCTGGAAAAAGACTGGGAGAACTTCTCTTGAGTTTGACTGCTTATCCAATGCTACTGGCAAACCAAACCAAGGGCGGACATAGCCTGGTAAGGAGAAGAGATAACAAGTTCAGAGCACCCAATAAATCTTCCCATTTTGCTCTCCTCTCCCTTGAAGAAGACACAACTTGACATTCCCAGTGGACAGAAGGAAAACCCTTCCCTCATGAGGACAGTCAAGCCGTGGGCCAGGCTGCCCTGTGAGGCGGTGCAGTCACCACTGTAGACCTGGTGTCTAGTGAACAGCTTCCAACTCCTGCTGGGCACAGATGAGGCTCTTCAGAGGAACCCATCAGGAGCTTCCCATCCAGGGAACTGTGCCTGGGGGTAAGCAGGTGGCTGGAAGCACACACCCTGGCAGCACATAGAAAACACACGAAGCCATTGATACCTCCTTTGCTTAAGTGTGAGATTGCAACAGGCAAAAAAAGAACTCGCTAGGTTGCTGGGAGGAAGACAACTGCTGTGCCTTGGCAAACAGCTGATCGTGGTAGAAAAGGTCTGAGGTTTAGATTGTTCTCTAGTTTATGCTTTATTAAAAAAATAATTAAATTAATTTCTGTCCTATTACTCCCAACTTCCCAGAGAGGTGTCCAGTCTGCTTTAAACTCCTGCTGAGCCATATCATCCCACGTTACTTGGGATGATCAGCAAAAACCTGACCCAAAGGTCAGCTGTGAAAATTGAATTCATAGTCATATTTCAGGGCACCTTTCATTGCTACATTCAGCCGCATGGAGGGCATGCGAGCAGGCAACAGGAATGGGAGAACACAGTTCTCAGTGGATACTAGACAGGCAGAAGTGTGCAATGTCTCTGTGCCAGAAGGAATTGAAAACAAGCAGTTGTAAGTGAAGTTCTTAACTACACACACACATACACCCCCCCTCACACACAGAGGTACATCACCTGAACCTCACTGCAGTTCCTCCTCACCCCAGTACTGCTCAGCTGAGGGTCATCTGCAGCAACAAGATCTGACTTGAGTCGGTCTGACAGTCACAGAGAATTCTGGCTCCTGAAAGAGAGGTTCAAGCAAAGCCATTTCCCAACTCTTTCCAAGTTCTGGCTTACATGGACACAGTGGTGCAGAAAACAAAAGGTTCAGCTTTGGTCACTGATGGAAAATCCATTCTGGACAGTCACATTAGTTCAACAGCCTCGTGTTCCCCATTTTCTTGCTGTACCATACAGCCAACTTTATTGTTGAAGAGACGAGACAGACTTCCCTTCTGAGAGCTCCTGCCCTGGGCAGACCTCTCCTTCTTCAAACGCCGCTTATTTCTCTTGCATATTCCCCGGATGTCCCAAATCCTTAGCGTGCCATCATGGGAAGCTGTGTAGAGCAACTCATTGTGGATCTGGAACAACAGGGTCACACTTAATACCAAACCATACAGCACAGACTCGGCACAATCAAACTGTCAAAAATCAGAGCAAACACAGCTTGATCCTAACACTTAAGGCCTGATAGCTCATTGCAAGAGCCAGTATAAATTATCACAAAAGCTGCTGAAGTGGGATGAGACATCAGCAAGTCAGGACTGATTTCTCAGCCACTTCACAGAGCCATAAAATATAAACAGCAAGAGTTATTTATAACCTAAACCCAATAGAAAAGCAATGGGGAACTAAACTCAATGTCAGAGTAGGCTGTAGCTGGGAATTTCTGTGCTGGTTTCAGACTGCTGGTTTTGAAGATGAAGCTTAAGGAGACACCAAAATTGGCATCAGTGGGCGGGGGGTTGGTGGGGTATCGGAAATGCTTTCCTTCTCACTTCCCTTCTTCCTTTGCAGTAAGTTATAGGTACAATTCCTCCTTCAAAATTTGCTGTTCTTCCAAACCTGCAGTAATTCAACCTTGATTCCCTCCTGTAGTTTCATTTCCTTCATAAAACATTTGCTGCTGTTGGTAATGTTTCACACTGTTCTCAGCCCGCCCTAGAAGCCAGCCGTCAGTCTTGATCATCTTCCCCCTCCTGCATCAATCCATTCGCCACAGGCGCTTGCAGTCTCCAGGGGCAGCTCACCATACCGAGCATCCCACCAGCAGTCTGGCTTACATCAGCATGAAGTACCACACAACCACAGCCCCTCCATCAATCCCTCATTAATGTACTTAATATCATATTAAGGATGCCACTTCTCAGTCCTCTCTCTTCCCAGGATTTTGTGCCCTGTACACTTTCCAAAAGGAATTTTATCTCCTCTCCTGTTTTCTTTCGACTGTCAGCCTGTCAGAAATATTTAGTGTCTCACATTCTTAATCAAAATCCTCATCCTACACGCAGCTTTTACTGAGATCCTGATGAAGGAAAATGTGGATTCTTAAATGCAGAAGCATCCAAGCATTCAAACTTTCCCCCCGGGATTCCTTGCATGATACTGGTCTTTACATTGCCACCAAGGATTACTAATTCCTCCCGTTTTAACTTTTAAACGCCGGTATCACTTGAGCCTAGACAATTTGCAAGCAACTTTTCAAAGACTTAATTAACTTTTTGAAAATTTTTAAGCCAGTGGCAGAGACTCTTCCATTTGTCTGGTAGGATGTGGGTCAGACATCAATACAGAGCTTTAGTCATCTTTATACCTTCAGAAAAATAGATCCTGATGTCGATATAAATGTTTATATACGGGGTAGCACCACCAGCTCTTCACTAAAATGAGTAAAGATGGTAAGCAGTTGCTTTTTTTTTATAACGCCATATATTATTCTGCTTGGGTAAGACAGAAACTTCTTTTCCACCTAGAACATTGCAAACACTTATCAGTGTCCTGTAATGGAATTGGTCTCGTGAGGCTGGAGTCCGTTCCCTGCCCCTGCACAGGATCAGTTACATCCGTCTCATTTCTTATGGTTGCTTGTCTAAACTGACCTGAAAAACCTCCAGTCACAGACATAGGACTGTCTCTGGGGTCTCGTTCTGTGGTTTCACTTATCCTTATTATTACCAAGTTTGTCTAAAATTACAAAAAGAATATTCAAGTCTGTTACTTTTCGTTTTACCCTAGAACAACATCCAACCCAAGGCACACAGAACAGCTAGCCACACCAATTCCCACAAAACAAATGAAGGAGCAATCAGAAGCGAGAAATCCCAGCAAAGGAACCCCTTCCTAACCTGGATGCAGTTGATGATGAACTTATGTCCTCGGAAGATCTTCTGCAGGACACCACTCTTGGAATTGAAAGCTCTTGCACAGGCATCACCACTTCCTGTGAACACTGCAACGCAACCACACAACATAGTGCATGGCCAGATGTAAGCAGCCACATAAGGTCAGTTCATGTGAGTTCAAAAATGTACCTAAAATTAACTCACAAAGGAGCATGACGTATCGTTTTTAGGCTTGAATCTCTTTTCAGTTATAGCAAGTTCAGATCGTTTTCATTTTGCTGACCCCAGCATGCTTGTTTTCATTTGTATTTTTCAAAACCCTGAACTGCTTTAAGTCTGAAGTTTCTACATACATCAGCATTTCACTCCATGCACACTTCAAGTATCTATTTCTGCTTTTCTCTTCCACATATATTTCCCTGCCTAAACAGGCCTCAATAATTCTAAGCAGGCAATTTATCTCAAGCCTGGTTTTGAGGATTTCCACTAAGCCTTCCATTTGTTTTACCATAGTTATTTCCAGGTTTCCATTCAGTACTACAGTATCTTCATCACTTCGTCTGCAGCATCACGCAGCAGAAGCTCTGTACAGGGAGACTGCAAACCACAGGAACAGCATTACCCTCTCTCACACTTAATAATAAGAATTTGGCCTCAGCTTCATTAAAACATACTCTGTTTCCCCCCACCCCCAATTTTCTACAAAAGCTTACTACTGTAGGTAGGGCCATCTCTGTTGAAACAGCACAGTTTAACCTTCTGTCCTCAGAGGCGAGCAGCATGCGTAGGCAGCTTTACAGAGCAGCTTTCTAAATTCTTTCAGTGTGGTAGATTTCTTCAGTTAAATCCTGTAGCTTAGGATCTTTGCAAGCAGTAGAGCCTTTAAGTGATTCAAGGGCCAGGCTATAATCTCTGTTTCAGTACAGCACTGAACTATTTGAGGGTTTTGGCTGTAACTCTTGTATTCTATGTAGTATATTGTACATGAGCTACAAAAGCAGGGTTGGGAAGGGATGTTTGGTTGGTTTTCTGGTTGGTTTTTTGTTTGTTTGTTTGTTTGTTTTAAAGTAAATTAAGCATGACCAGAGATTTTGGCTGTTCATCAGGTTTCCTTAGGGTATCTTAACATGTTCAAAGAACAATTTCTCAGAACTTCAGGCACTTCACATCAGAACCCTAGAATTGCTGCATCCAGAAACTGTAAGGCAGTGTTGAATATTTAGGTTTTATACTTAGCAATATGCCCCAAAAGCAGCATATTTTTATGCTTTAAGGGTTACAAACTGTCTTCATAAACACTCACTGTCCTTCACATAACCCAAACTCCTCAAGTTTATCTAGAAATAAATATTTCAGAACTGCAAAAAGCAATATATTCACTGCTCCCTGTGTTTCATGTCTTTGCAAAAGCCACTACCATGGAAAGATTTTTACAAAACTGAAGTGCCTGAAGACAACAGATGCCTTATTGTTTGGGGGAAGTCAGGCACTGGATTCCTAAAGAGAGGCGAAGAAATTATCATGGCAGTAAATTCAGGACTACAACAAGAGACGAGAGAACATGCTACCTACTGCCATCAGCTTTTCAACTTCAAATTAAACAGCAGGAGGCTGGGTACTTCCCGGGTACACCTTCAAGAAACATCTGGATGTGGAAAATCAATGTCATTTTATATGGGCCACTATAAATTCAATTACCAACACAATCCTGAAAAAGCATTGCATCCCATTCTGCAAATGAGTAACAACAATGAAAAGCAGGAAACAACAAGGTACAGATTTTTTTCCAGTGAATGGAAATCACTCAATGCTATTACACACATGCAGAGAGTAGGAACCAATTAAGAGCTGTTTTCACTATGCAGCTGTCAGTTTACTTTAGCTATCGCTATCAGGATTTTGCCTTTGACAGACATCTTTTATGTCTTTTGAACTGTCACTCTAGATTTAGGAAGTTTGTTTGCACCTCTGCATTTCAAAGGAGCTGCTGATCTAACCCAGATTTAGCATTTAAATATATGCTTATATATAACACCTGTGAAACAACCAACCACCAAAAAAAAAAAAATATCAACAATTCATTTAAATTTTTTACTTGGATTTCATAGACCCTTGGGAGGGAGAACAGGTTTTAAACGTTCCCTTGGAGTTTTTGCAACATGAAAATATACAAACCACACTAAATTTTAAATGACTGTGCACATACTGTAGGGGAGAAATAACCAACATAATATCATTAAGTAAATTAGATTGAGAACCAGCTCTAATATTCCCCATGCTACTAATTACACAAGCAGACTGAGGGAAGCCACTAGAAACACATTCTGATGATTTAAAGCTTAGTTCTCAGATCTGTCTGGACTCCCTGTACACTATAAAGCCATTTTGGAAACACACATATATTTTTCCTCTCATTCTTCTACTATATTTTCTTATTTAGACCTTAAACTCTTTGGGGCAACGAGCCTTTGGGTACTGATCAGATAGCAAGCATAATTAAGATCTTCTAACAGAAAGTTACCACCTCACAGCCGAGATTCTTTCCATGTTCTTGTGCTGGTGCCAATGCGGCAAACCATAACAACCATCATTTACACTGAAGGATTTTCTCCACATTTTTGAAAGACAGAGAATGGATACATAATGCTGATCTATCCCAAGTGAACAGCTAGAATTTTAAGCTACACTAGCTCCAACATTTGGTATCTGGTGAACATGTATTCGTATTCTAATTGAAACAAAACTATTCGATACTGTGTAAATAAGTGATCAATGTATTAAAATAATGCAAGCAATCATAGTACATAAATTAGTTTTTAAGGGGAAATTTCCTCTTTCAAGAATTAAAATGCATCTAAATTCTATTCAAACAAGTCCCTAATATTTTCCCGTGACATTTTTTTCTACCCTTCAAGTAGAACAATTAAATTCTCCCTGTTTGACACTTTTAGTATTTTTGCATTTCATTTTAAATGAGATCTTAAATAACTCCGTGAACACTTCTATCACACTATCAGGATGTTCTTCACAGGTCTGACTAAATGCAGCAATATTGCCTGCATTCTAAGAAAAAAAGTGTTATGGAAAAATAATGTATGTGTATGGCAGGGACAGGGTGGTAGGATGAGGGGGAAGAGAGAAAACTGCAGAGCTGATGGGGATGGCATCAGATAGTGAAACTTTGGTTTAAGCCTAAATTTTATTTATGATGGTTTTAGAGAGTCTGGTCAAAAGTCTATACTGGTTGCATGCAAAGCAGGTTCATCACTGAAAAAATGCAGCTCTGGATGTCTCATTAATGAGGGAGAGACAGTCTCTCCATCTCCCACCCAGACATGAAGATTCCTTACTGGACAAGGCCAACATGAGCTTAGCACAGTTATCTTGCCTTTGGGTAGTCTTGATGAATTCAGAGTTTTGTTTTGTATCTTTATAATTAAAAGGGGGAAAACACACACATAAAATAATCAGTGTTTTGTTTGCCAGTGTTTACCCTGAATTATAATTTCTGGTTCATTTTCCCTTCCCTACCTGCCTACCTCTGAGCAATAACTACTTCAGGGTGCAGTATAAGCTCAAGACCCTTTCCCCTTCCATTTCAGCCTTCTAGCCAACTGCAAAAGCTGAAATCAGCAGAAATTATAAACCTGCAGGTAGAGGCAGTGGGATAGTTTTGCAACATAGATGAGGAGAGCTGAAATTAACTGTAAATTACGATTAACTATTTTAATGGAGAAAAGTAGTGCTGTGGGTCTAATCCTGAAAGGAAGACAAAAAAAGGCTTCCTGATCAAAATCAAAATCTACCTATGGGCTTGGTTACATGTTAAATTTCCAAACTTAATTAACAAATCAATTCAATTACTGGATTATAAATGTGGTCAGTCAGCCATGTCTAACATGGTGCTAGACAACTGCCATTAAACTGTAATCTGCCTGTCCAGGTATGACTCTCTTCTAATGTGGACCATCATGCATTTGTCAGCCATTTATCACCATCACACTGATGATCTGCCAAAAGAGATATGAAGGCCCAACTAACAACCAGTTATTTGGTGTTACATATTTGCTTCATAGCTGAAGTATAGAAATTGAAATCAGACAAATGTTGCACATTTCTAGATTAGCTTTAGACAGGCATTGCCATTCTGGTTACCCTGAAGGAAAGTACTTGTTTGGGAAGCAAATGAAGATACATCAGGTCTACCGTCAGTGGCAGAATAAGACCAGGATGACAAATAGAGAGGTTTAGGCTGATAAAAACAGAGGCAGTGTCTTGTAACCCAAGCCCAGAAATGCATAGATGGCATGAGGAAGAAAAGCCAGCCAAGAGAGGGATTTAAAGAAGGAGGTTTCATGGTCAGAATATACTGTTATGTCAACAACAGACAGTTACGTAAAGATATTAACAGGAGTACTGAAAGTAGAGGAACTGAGTCCCAGGCATTAGTAAGGCAAACAATACTTGGCTACTGCAGAAAGGTGGCTGGGGAACAAATACATGAAAGAGGACAGATAAAGGGAAAAGAACTTGTGGAAAATGAATCTAGGAGATGGTCGGAGTCTGACAGGAAGCCTAACTGTTAGAAAGCAGCAATGAGCATCTTAGATGTGATTCTGGTTTACGACAGTCATTACACAGTAGCTACAAGGCAGCAAACGCAGGCACAGGGCTGCGTATCCAGCAGCAGCACTTCCTGTCCCCGAGTATGCAGCAGAAGCAGACTGACAGACATCAGACTAGCGAGGTTAAACCACAGCTATACAAACAACCCACAGACAGCTCAGGATGTAAGCCACTTCCCTTGATAACAGAAATAAAACAACTACCTCTTCATTTGCCAGAAGAAGGAGGTGGAAAATGGGGGGAAGATTTAAGCTTCCCACATGCAGTAGTGCAGCAAAGTTTGATACTGAACATAAACATGGTGGAGTTGAGAAAAGCAACAATTTTTCAAGCCTTCAAAATTATAGTATTCTCTATTAACAATCTTTGATCAGATAGGCATCAAAAAGGAGACAAGGGATTGCTGAACATAGGAAAGGCAACTTACAGATCCCAGCGTGGTATTTCAAAGTGCTAACGCTGTGTTTGTGAGCCTTGTACGTTTGGATTCGCTCCCCAGTGTCTACTAACCAGCACTTCACTGTCCTGTCCGCGCTTCCCGAATACAAATGCCGATTCACTAGCTGAAGGGAAGAGAAAAAAACATCAGCAATAGCCTCTCAGGCACATTTGCGAGAGAACTGCACTGAAGTGACTCATACAAAGTCACAGTTTCCAGCTCAACAGTCTGTTACAAAGAGCAACAACTACACCTTGAAACAGAGGGATGGTGAGCACAACCAACCTGGCATTCTTCACGATTGCCTCTCCCATTGACTTCTGGGCCTTAAAAACAGCTCCTACGTTTCAGAAGATGAAAAACTTAGCCCATCTGCTGGTGCAAGCAGGCAGGATTTCGGTGAGCTTAACAATGCTAACCCTACTTCCATAATTAGTTACATTAATGCAGCCTCAAAAAAAACCCTGCAGCGTACTTTTTGCAAAGCGTATTTGACAAGAACTCTTATTAGACTGTAAGTTTTAATTACAACAGAAATTTCAGAACAATTTTGAGTAACAAAAAAGAGTAAATTAAAAACAAAATCCTATGCAACGTAAACCAGGGTTTAATATGCACAAGGTCAATTTTGAAAACACTAACTCTTCCCTGAAACTGTTTTGTATCTGTGTTTCCCCAAGTCTTTTTGGACTGTGTTATTAAATAATTAACTAGCCTTACATAGGTTTCTAAACATCTTCAATTAGTGTGTCTTCTGCTGTGTGTTTAGAGCAACTCTGCCTATAAATCCCAAAGAAGAACGGCACCTTGTTAGAATGGTTATCCTGCACACTGTGTGAACTCACTAGTGGTGGGGGTTGGTTTTAATTCCGTGCAGACACGACAGAGAATGGCAGAGGGAAGGATTGCAGAGGGGAAACTGAGACAGAGAGAAAACAACTGAGCTGTGCAAGACTATAAAACTAGCCAGCCCACAGTAACAAACTATCCAAAGCCTGACAGCCCACCAGGGAAACCCTCCACAGTCTGGTGATCTACGTCCAGCTAACGAAAACAAACTAAATGTTTTAACAGCCATCATTAGGTACAGCTCTGACTGCATACTCCTTCAAGCAGAGAACTGGCCCAAGACCTGCCATCTGAAGGCGTCTAATGAAGGCAGCCCGTCACTGCACGTTCTCAGAATAATCCACAGGCTTTAGTCAGCTATAAGTTTCACAGACTTGCAGCAATCTCTGTATGAAAAGGACAGAGAGACAGGAGGGAGACCCTGATCCCCCACAAAGAAACAGAATTTGCACAAGGGATAATAATACCATGTTTCCCCTCTAGAAACACAGATCAGAAGGCTGAAGTGACCAGCAGAGCACTAACCCCTTATGCTCCTCAGATTATCTCCAGGAAACCAACTGCAAAACAAATGACAAATCAACCTGACATAGGTCTTGCTCTTAGCTCACTTTTAAGGGTCTGCTTCTTCCACCACCTTAGGTTATAAAAAACCTTCAGCCTCCACTCTTTGCATGCTCTGTACCTGTAAGGTTGAAATGTTTTTCACTCTCCTATCTCCACCCCCATTCCCAAAAGGAATCGCCCCATACCCAAAAGGCATCATAAGTGAGCTCTGCACAAAAGAACATTTGCACTGTGTTACAAGAACACAAAACAAAAGCACTACAGCAATGGGACTATGCTAACCCATGTAGGAATTGTATGCAGGTAGACCAAGATGATCACTGGCTGCAGCTCCCACCAGCCCAGTGGGAGCAGCACATGCCACCCTTCCTACCAGCAGAACTTGGCCCATGGGACAGTTTTCACAGCTCAACACATCCCACCGTTAAAAGCCAGCAGTACTTTGAAATGCCACATTCTATTACTTTTAAGCTGTTTTAGCAATGGCATTAAAACTACATCCCAATGAGGAAAGAGAAGGAATGACCAGCAGCACTAACAAAAACGGAGAGCTATACAGTTAATTTCCAGGCTCAACCTGAAAGGGCATGAAAGGCATTGTCACGTTGCACCTGCTGAATGGAAGAGTTGCTTCAAGTTGAGATCCTGCTGCATGGCTCTTGGCCAAGTCATTGCAGTTCTTTTTCAGACGTCTTGCTAGCAGCATCAACCCATCCACTAAACAAGGGAAAACACTAAGTTACAGCCTCCTGCAGGTAAATGCCACTCTGCCTTAATGGTACATTACGTTACACTGCTTCATATCTATATTTAGGTGGGTGTGTAAATGCTGAAGTGAAGCAGAAAAGCTGCAACTTGCCTAGATTTGCTAATTTGCTAGATATAAAAATGTGACAAATGACGTGGGCTTACTCAGGTAATTTATAGTACCAGGATCATAAGAGCCATAAAAGCTTCCAATGCCCAGTCAGAGATCTGGAGAGCTGGCTGACACACCAACCACCTTCATTACATTCAAAGCCTCTGTGCTACCCAGGCTGCTGCATGATACACTTCTATGAACCTTCCTCCCCCTCACCAGTTTAAGCAGGTGGGCACAGTAGCAAAGGATTCTCAGCCATGCATGGACACAGAAATACTAACAGGTTAAACAATCTACCGGATGTCACAGACTACGCCTGCAGCACAGCCAACAGCAAACCCCAGTACAGGCTCCAACTGTCACACAGCCTCTCGTTTCCATGGTATTTTTAAAACACAGAGCACGAAATAGCTGTTAGTGAAGAAAGTCATCAAGAGCTATCAGGTCAGGGTGAAGTTGCAAATTAGATCTACCTTTAGCAATACGATGCAGGCATCATCTCACCTAAATCAATGCAGATATCTACAGCTAAGTCTCCTTATAGTCACTGCAGTTTAGGGCACATTTCAGCTCATCCTGAAATAGATGTCTGAAATAGGTCACGCCTTAAAACTCGCTATTTCCACCCCCTCACATGGACAGCCTTCTCAGTTGTAGCCATCTACATCAATTTAGGTGAGATGACTCCTCCTTCACTTGGCTAAAGATAGGTCTAGTTTACACCTCCAGCCTAAGCTACAACACTTCAGATATCTATATTTAATCAAAATAATAATAATCATCATACACTGTTCCCCTAGCCAAAGCACGTTATAAGCAGGCCCCACACTCTGTAACATAAAATAAATACCTTCCCTACTTTATAGATGGGGAACCATGATATAATGCAACAGAGATCCATCCAAGAAAGGACTTGAAATTTATAGCATCCTAACTTTTGACTGCCTAAATCCCAGAGTGCAGCTCCGATTTGGGAGGCTGCTCCAGGATGCAATCAACCCTTTCTACAACACCCAGAAAGCATTACGTGCTTCAGGGCAGTTGTGACAAGCAACAGTGCGCAATATCCCTGAAACTGGTCAAGAGAGTATATGAAAACCGATGGGATTCTGTCTGAGAAGTGCAAGACAGGCATCAATCCAATGTGACCCATGTCAAATCGGTATTTTTACTCCGGAGCCTTTGTTCAGAGTTTGCATCCAAAAAGGTGTCGCTACCCCCCAACGCAGACATGGTAGCCTTGGCTCTAACACACCAAGGCTGGACACACTGTGCATGTCCTCATGCTCCGGGGAACAAACCGCCTTTGCTGTGGAAGCAGTGGAGATCCTAGGGTCAGCTGCAGTACCAGTCCTTGGCTCCTGTAATCCCTTTTCTTAAGTCATGACTGTATTGAAAACTATCTAAACAGCCCAAGAAAGAGGGACTGTAACACACTTCCCCTGCTGACTTCCAGCCAGGTACTCAAAGCACTGATTTCCAGTTAGGTCACCTTCTGCTGGCTCTCCCTCTAGGACTCTTGCTAACCTCCTTACACCGTCTTGGCTTCTCCTATCCAGCAGTTACGGGACTCTCCAAATGGGTTCCAATCTCCTCACACGCAGAGGCCACTTAACCCAGATCTGCCAGTTCTGTTACACTACCAGGCAGAACAGTACGTTCCCCTCCTTCTTGTCATATTCCTGAACAAGAGTGTCCACGGGTGCTGTTCCTTGAGTTAAATATCCCCACATGTTTGGCTCAGGAGTTGGACAAAGTATACTGACTTGTCCACCAAAATGTGAGACCACGCTGCAGCTCTGGTGGGAGGTAAGCCTCCCCGCTGCCAAGACTGGCACTCATTTTTGTGTATGGGTATCCCAGCACAGTCATTTTCAGCAAATGCTTGTGGGCTAGGTCCCCAGATCCATAACTACTGGGCTTTTCTATCCTGAAGTCTTCAAATGCATACCCAATTCCCTAAGTCCCAGTCCTATTCTTATTAAACAATTTATTTTTCTTATGATTTAGAAGGAAAAACGTAAAATTTCACTCAATAGATTTTTCCACATATACCCAAGTCTGTCAACTCTTGGTTTAAAAATGATCAGTAGAAACAGTTACATAGTCTAATCTGCAAGAGCGTGGAGAAGCGGTGATATTTTCAGAGCTGTATTTTCCTTGGCTGGCTTTTGAGCACTTTCTTCACTGGCTAACTGCCCAACAAAGCTCCTGAGAAGAAAAAGCATGGCAAGGCAAGGACACCTGTAGCAGAGCAGACAACACAGAACAGATTTGCAGCTCAGATCCTAATGAGCTGGGTGGACATTACATACTCAAGTAGCTTCAAAAGAATTAAAAACTTGATGGCTGTCAGGTGCTCAGTTCTAAAGCCTCGGCCAGACAGCAAGAACACCACTGCATTGCTATCTTTAATTCTGGACTGTTATTTTTCCTCGTTACTCTAAGGAACTTTGCTTTGAACCAGATGAAACACTGAGACACATGAATGGAGCAAATTTGTCTTAATCCTCAGGCCAAAGTACATAGATGTACCTTTCCAGGCTTGCTTGTGAGTAGCAAAGTAACAGCAGTAGCAAAATACAGGTTGTAAATGCTTAAGTAGTTACAGGTTTCACTATTTAAAAATGCCAGTTTTATGTAACCCTGACCTTGGTTGTAGCCCCTAGACACACCACAGTTTGAATAATAATAATAAAAAAAAACAAAAAACAATCCCACACCAAACCCAAATTATCACATCTAGGCTTGGTCTCTCTAGACAATCACAACTCTATTGGTCCACAAGCTTAGATGAACTGAATATATGCAGCAGATTAAGACAATTTCCACCTGTATGAATGCCAAAAATACCTGCAAAAGAGCTGTTTAGCAGGTATTTCAACCTTATAGGAACGGACTTTGCCCTCCCAATTAATCTTTGCTATAAGAAACAATCCAACCCTCACCTAAGGAGAGGCAATCAGCTCTCCAAACAGATTAGGACACATCCTCTTTCTGAAGGTCACTGCACTCAGACTGTCTCTCAGGAACTTCATGATGAGTTCACATCAGCAACCATATTTCCCACTGCTGTCTTATTCTTCACATGGGGCTCAATATTCCTACAATCTGCCAGCTGGGTCTTCTGTTCACAGCCACTTCTAAGTTAAAAATCACCAACTTGGACCAATTTCAAGTTACAACTATGTAAGACCTCAGCCGAGTTAGACTTTCAGGATCCCATTCAAACCACATTCCTTTTAACAAGCTAACTAACTCCCTGTGGGCAAGAAATTGTTTTTTTTCCTGAGAATTCATCTAGAATGAGCTCTCTGGTCTGGCTGTTAGAGAACATGTTTCAACTTCTTTACTGCAGTGCGAAGTAATGGTCCTAGAAACGTTTCTTTTCTACAGGTGTTGTAACATTCATATTCCTCTAATTCACATCTTCATCCTCTGATGAATTATGCAACAAATACAAACACAAATTACAAAAAATATGTGCACTTAACTGCAGTGCGAAGTAATGGTCCTAGAAACGTTTCTTTTCTACAGGTGTTGTAACATTCATATTCCTCTAATTCACATCTTCATCCTCTGATGAATTATGCAACAAATACAAACACAAATTACAAAAAATATGTGCACTTAATTTAATTGGTGTGACAAAAAAAAAAAAAAAATATCTGTCCCCATGATCACAACAGTTAAGCGTATAAACAGAGCTGAGGCAATGGCTTTGTTCAAAGCATTCTTTTCTTCTAGTCACATTTAAAAGGCAACTAAAGGGAATGTCCCAAACAAAGGATCTTTTGCAGGAAAACTAGAAGCAAGTCCTTGCCCACTCATGTTCATTTAAAACTCCTTTGGCAAGAAAGGAGTTTTCTTGCAAGAATGTTTGCTATAGGATCCAAGCTAAATTCCAAGCTGGATCATTTCTCTCTGCCAGCACTTGGCAGCACAATTTTGATAAATACACAGAGGCAGAACAATCAGCAAAGGACAAAGCAATCCTTGTGAACAGTTTGCAAAGCTACTTTGGAGACATTTAGAAAAACATACACAAGTAAATATTTAAGTCAGGGTTATTCAGCCTATTGCAGGCAGTCACGTTAATGAAAACGCATGTTTGATTATTAATTGCAAATACTGGGCTTTAGCCAGGCTTGAAATTAAGTGGAAGAACTCGCATGAGTTGTGTGACTACACTCAGCTCACTCTTGCTTTTTCCCATCACTTCCTATAAAATCTCATCCTTGGCTCCTATATGAAGAGGGAGCACTCGAAACAGCTGCTGTTCCTTGCCTGCCAAGCTATCAATGCACTGCAAGAGAAATAGAGTGAAGAGTTCTGGCGGCTCCACTGCTAGTTACCTTGCCTGACTATGACAGTGAAGTAGTCAAGGCCGCCAAAGCACCTAGCATGCACATGATTCCCGCTGCAGATAGAAAGTCTCCTGGCAAAACTTTTGTCAGTCTAATTTAGACAGTGGAAGGACGAGAAGAGTGGTGTTAGAATAAGCGGGTCCCTGCAGCAGCACTACTTTGACAGTAGACCACATGCAGTCAGTTCAGCTGGTAAATCACCTTCAAGAGGCTGACTCTGGGACAGCAGGGCAAGCCCTGAGGAATATCTGAGCCGCTAACTCTCTTCACTCCACTGCCCAGGACCACCAGTGATGGTGGAAAAGGGAAAGCTAAAAGCTCACCAACACTTTCCGTTCAGCCATGCTCGATTAGAATTGCTTTCAGGCTCCTCTAACTTACGCTAGCTGGCAACACCACCTGAAGGATCTTAGAGCAACTGAGGAATATTCAAAATCTGAACATGCCTGTGGCATCATCCCTCTGCTTTTCACACGCCAGCACTGCAGGAAGCAAGGTGGAAAACATGGGTGTGCTTTATGGATATCTACCCAGAAACACTCCAGGAATTTCCATTCACTGCTACAGAGACACTATTGCTATTTACTGGAAAGTAATGGGAGACAACTGGAACAGTCCAGACCTAATTTGCAGCTGTTTAGAACATCCTGGGGCATTCCCATTAATAACAGTACTTTTTAAAGTTGGGGAAAATATGGTCTCAATATCCAAATTTTTCCTGATCTGTGTCCAGGATAAGAGATCACAACGAGCATTTCTCAAACTTTTGAAAGGTCACCCTCCCTCAGGGATCTTTATTTGAATAAATAAAATGAAAATAAGTCTATTTTTTTCCCTTTATTCTCACACAAGCATTATACCAGCCAGAGAACAGGTAACTAGCTTTAATTACTGGTACCAGCTCAGCTCCTCCAGGACAGGGGAGTGAAAATCTGGTGTAATTAGCAGCTCACTTCTGCCTTGAAGAAAATGAACTATTCTCAACAATTAAAACTGTCTGCTGACTACTGTGAGCAACCCACAACTACCTCCAAGTCGTTCCTGACCCATGGTTTGAAAAACACTATCCCAACTCACTGCCACAGATTGCAACACTGTCACAAAGAAGCCCCAGGCAAAAAAGGCTCCAAGAGCTTTTTGAGAAGAAAACAAAAATTAAAAAAAATAAACACCTCTATTCAGGAAGTTTCCCTTCTGTTGTAACATCTTTGTATGGATTCTGGTGATTGACCCCTTTCTAAAAGAATGAAAATACCATGCGGGCTGTGCTGAGAGGCAGCCAAGTGGAACAGAAGGGCTAGTGTTGAACCCAGTAAGGAAGACTGAGGAATTAGGAAAGATCGACAGCCTAAAGCTATTCAGCAGCAGTACACCAACTGCTAAAGATGGGATAAGTTTTAGAGGCCTGGAAACCAAATGCTCTCTGTGGGGGCAGTATGTACCTCAGCTGGACTCTTCTAGCCTCAAACATCAACTGGAGATGAGAGAAGCGAGGGGCTACCAGTTACTCACAGCTAGAAGATTTGGCCAGGACTGTTGCCAACACAGTCTTGGCAGCAGTAGTCTTGTGTACTTTGAATTGTTCAGGTTTTCCAAATAGATGTATTGGTTTTGCTTTTCTTCTCCCCTACAAGAAGTTCTGTTTGTTTAAAACCATTGTTTAACTCTGTGCTCACAAGCGGAGAAGCATTGCTCATTCTTGAGCATTTAAAGAGTGTAATTGAATTTCCCAGGCTTCTGGGAGAGGGTCAAGCCAGTTTTGTGTAACAGTTTTAGCAAGAACCCAATTAAATTAAAGCAAGCTCTGCTGTTGCCAATCTGTGCCTTGGAGAAGGGTTACAATTAAACAGCAAAACATAGCGTGACACTAAGAACAGCAACAGATTTACTTAAGCATTCTCAAAATACATTACCACAATATCATAAAAACAAGCTTTAACACTGAGAATTTACCCGAGCAAGACAAACATTACTCCAGGGCAATATGATTTTGTGTGGTTTTTCTTCCTTTCTAAAACCAAAGGAAAATAGAATTCCTTCAGTACTACCAGGTTTTGAGCCTGCTAGTGTCAGCAGTGACTACCTTCTTCAGAAACAAAGGCAACATTTATTTATTAAACATCTATTAAAAATAGGTACTGCAGGCCTCTGTAAAGGAAAAGCACTTCTGGACAACAAACACAAATGAGGAATAGTGAGAAAAATTATTGTCATTAACTTCAGTCAGACACATACATTTAAGGTTTGCTGACCTGAAATTAAGTTACAGACCATCATATACCTTCTTTATATACACCATTAGCATTTTCTGGTGGATAATGGAGTGTACAGGACAAGTACTTGTGTGATAGTTCCCCTTTTCCTTCGTCTGCCTAACCTCATTCTCTCCTCTGCAACATTAACAAACCTGGAAGCATTCACCAGAAAAATACTGCAAATAGAAAAACAGGGTATGGTTTTTCAGGTCACGTTAATTTCCCCACCACCACCCTCCTCCTTCATCATTTCCTGATTTCTCTCCCCCATGCTCCACTTCTCTTTTCCATTTTCCTTGCCCATTCTCTCATCTTGGCCACCTCTTTCTCCCTTTCTTTTTTCAAATTATGTCTGTGCAGTTTTTAAAGCAGGATTTCTTTCAGCTTTATGCTTTCCTATTACCTTTTGCCCACAATTTTGTGTTCGTTTTCCGTTTTTTGGTCTTGGTGATTTTTTTTAAGGTATCTGGTTTACTCTAACTTTTTTCTCCCTCCTCTTTTTAAGTTATCTGAACCTCTGTCTGTTTACTTGCACAATCAACAGCTCGAGTTATTTTTCTTCCAAGTCTGCTGATCCTGTGTATGTAATCCTACTCAGAACAGTAGTCCTTCCAGCCACCCTACTCATGAGTTTCAAGACCTACAAGGATTCAAACAGATACTGAGGTAGAAGCTAGACCAGAATAGCCACTAGAAGCCAAGAGGACACCAGAAAGGGTTTTAGCGAAAGACGAGCTGTCTCAAGACCATGGAGCACTATTATTTTGTTATTACATGAATGTTTAAGCTTATCATTTATAACCCATCTCAGAAGAGCTTCTTTATGAATGAAAAGACAAAGGAGACCTGCATGAGTTAGGATATGGATACCCGCTTTGAATGGCTCTTGAAGAAGCCTCTGTTCTTACCTCTAGGCAAATTACTGATCCTTGATGCTCTTTGAACACTTTCAACTGCTCACCAGTGACAATATTCCATGTTCGAATGGTATAATCCGTGCTGCCAGAAAACAGCTCCCTGTTTGGTGCGTCAAGTATAAGGCATAAGACAGCCCCAGTGTGTCCCAGCAGAGTCTGGTAACAGCGCCCACTGGACACCCACCAGACCTTAACAGTGCAGTCTGTGCTACCTGTCACCAGGAGGTCTCTGCTCACTTTCTCCTCCTCCTCCTCTTCCTCCTCCTCTTCTTCAAGAACATCCCTGGAGGAATAGTGAGCTAGAGTCAGGACACAGTTCCGATGGCCCCGGAATTCCTGGATTTGTTTCTCCTTATCCACACTCCAACAGCGGGCTGTCCTGTCATAGGAGCCACTAAAGAGATAGTTTTTGGCAACCAGGATCCTGCAAAAAATAAGTTTGCATATATGAATAGTATCATTCTTTTTACATAGCCATTTTTTTGGTCACAATTTCAATGCCAAGTACACTGAAGTTAGAAACGCCAGCATGAAAACCCAAATTCAGCATCCACTTTTTTTGGCACTTTTTTGTTGTTGGTTTTTTTTTTAAAAAAAAAAAAACCAACACACCAAACACTTCCGTTTTTCTACTTTTAAAATTGAGACCTCTTATTCAGGTACATCGATGCAGACATTTTAGCACTATAGTATCGTTATTTTGGGCATAAGTATTTTTCTAAAAATCTCTTCCAACAGTACTACGTACTTTTCATTAGTTACATATGGTAACTAAGAGTTTGTTGTGGCTTTTGTTGTTGTTTTTTTTTAATAAAAAACTCATTTTTTATAATTATTTATCAGTATTTCTTTACAAATAGTTATTTATAAAATTACTTATGAAAATAGCTTGGAATTAAAGTAAAAAAAAATAAATATCCAGGAACCTAAACTGTAACTGACAGTATGCAAAGATAATCATCTTTCCATCATCAAATAGAGAGAGTGCAGGAAAAGAATATAAACATAATTTTAGTTAGCCCAGGATCTCAAAAAAGGTGGAGCAAGAGCACCCCACTTATTACGTAACTGAAGAGCGAATCATAGACTACAGCTCAAGAATTCAACTTACTGGGCCTCCAAAATAATGAGTAGTAGCTGCACAAACATATAATAACAGAAAAATCTCTACAGTTCATATTTCCAAACCAGAGATAGCTGACAAAAAAGACAGTTTATGATGTTCTCTGAGTTTGGTCCTCTGGAACCTTTCAAACTGGCAAAAAAGTCATATGAATAGGGAACACATTTCCCATTTGCTGATTCAAGCAAAATCAAGCCCGTGCCAAAATCAGAGGCAGAGGCAGCCTTCCTAACTATTTACAGAATCTAGCTACACATCATATGTGTTTTGAGTTTAGTAAGAAACAAAAAAAAAAAAAACCACCCACCAAAAAAAGTAAGAAAAGAATACCAATCTTTGACTCTTTTATTTGTCATTAATTAAATCCAGTCCAACTATTAAGAGGCACTTTAAATTGACAGGCTAATCAGTCACGCACAATCAGTTTAATATTAAACTTCATTTGCACAAACAGGAATAGCAATTCCAGAAAAAAGCCCTGACTTTATCCCTCTTGCTGACACAAAGGCTTGACGTGATGTTTTTAAATCTATTTATCAGAAGCATCTGTTATCAATTGAATAATTTCTTCTGGAATTTCATTCCTAGCCCTGGATTCAATTTCCCTGCTGTGTGCCTTTCATTTCTCTCCTATCTGCTGTCTATGGATGTGTCAGCACTGTTGCTAGGAAAACTAATCATTACAGCACAGAACACGTGTAGCATGAACTCAAAGGTTTACACAACCCATTTTATTAGTGTAGTAATGGAGAATTACAGGAAAATGACAATATATGCAATAATAGATTACAGGAACACAACGGAAGAACTCCACGGAACCAACCTGTTAACAATTGATGTGTGTCCTCGGTAAACGGCCAGGCACTGACCTGTCATCACATCCCACTTTCGAATGGTATGATCTGCGCTACAGGTAAAGGCAGCCTCATTTTCTAAGTGGCAAAACGTGATGTAACTTTCATGTCCTAGGAATAACAAAGGAAATAAATTCAATCACTGTACATGCAAGCAGGACAGACTACTTGAGCTCTTTACCTTAACTAAAAGAAAAATACAACAAACATATGGACGGAAGCTCTAGTTTTAAATGTATCATGTTATTAAGTGTTCTTCACATTTAAGGATTTGTATAAAACATGACATTTTTAATTAACAGCAAAACACTCCACTTCATTGATACAAGGATTAAGTGAAAAACAGTACAGTTCTACCAACTGGGCAGATTGAACAGTATTATAAAAACATGAGCTAAATTAGTATCAGTATAGTAAAGCTCAGACTAATGAAGTTTAAAAACAGTAAAAAATTGGCTTTTTTTTTTTAATAAAGAAATGCTTTTCCTTCCTTCTTCCGAAGTCAGAAAAAAAAAGGCTGCAGCCCCATTGATCGTCAGGACAAAACCACCCCTAAATTAAAGCATGAAACTATGAGAAAAGGAAATTACATGAAACTTACCAGCAAGTTTAGTTTCATTGTCCAAGCAGAATGCAATGCAAACAAAAACACATATCTGGTAAAAAGTCAACCAATACTTTCCCCGTTATGACTAATAACATGAATAAACCCCACAATTTTCAAAATATCAGTATACCTTTAAGGAAAAGACACAGAAAGAAAGAATAAGAGCATAATTATTTATTCAGTATTCAGAGTATGTTGGGATTCTACAGTTACAATAAAAATAGACACAACCGCTACTCTAGAAATTTCATGCTGAAAAACAGGGTAACAGTAGCGGAGAGGAATCAACATTACAACCTTACGCTTTTGTTGTTGCTTAGCAAGATGTGTCATTTTTCTATCGTAGCATTAAATGTACCACAATTAAAAATCACCTTAGGATTCAAGTCCCAGCTTTGTCTGAGATATCTTGTGCGAAATTGTTTTCACCTATCTAATCCTTCTGATACTATTATCTTGCACTCTTGTTTTAATTGTTTAGTCTGTAAGCTTTCAAGATCAGAACTGTTTCCTATTAAGTAACTATCACTAAAGAGCCCTAGACTTTGGTTGAAGCTGGTCAGTCCTACTGTGACTTAAATAACACTATTCTTTGAGGAGAAAAGGAAAAAAAAAAATGTAAGAAGGACAAATGTGAGAGACAGATGAACAGACAAAGATATTAGAAAAACAGAATCATGTTGTAGAATAAAGAGATGGTAAAAAAACAACAGGTAAGCAGACTGCCCTGTAAAACACTTCATTTCACTGACTGCAAGAAACAGATTTTACTACAACTCCTGTAGTTCAAAAGCCTTGTTGTAGTTCAAAAGCGAACCAGAATCCACGTTACAAACTCACATCTTGTTTCCTCTTAAGCAAATTCACCAGATGTCAAAAATTAAACAGATCACCAGGGCTATAAGAAAAACTACACCAATCCTCACATTTTCATGAAAACTTTTTGCAAAGCAACTTAAATGGGACAGGTTTCAACCATCAGCATTTTTCTCACAGCATCATGTAGTCCTGCTTTAAGAAGATGAAAAAAGCATCTTGGTTACTGCATCGAAGTCTGTCAGACAGTTTTTAACCATTGGTAATACTCAAGCCACACAAAGGATGCCAAAACCCCATGTGGCAGACAAGGTCTGCTGCTGGTCTGGTCAAAAGCAGCCACCACAGAAATCTGTTGGTTATGCTGTGGTGGAAGCTTGAAATTGTGTTATAGATACAGGCTTATCAGTAATCATAGCTTGAACGATACAAATTTACACAAGAACTGTGTGCATGCATAAATACAAAATACATAGTTATCTGATTCGACTGACAGTTCACAAACCATCTAGACAACCTTCTTAAGAGTTCACCCCAAACACTAGCAGTACATAGGCCAGATTCTGAATATTCATCCAATGTATTTCTCTTTCGAGTTGAAAGTTAATTAGTGGTTTAAAGGGATTTCTAAGCCTAAAGCAAATGCAGCGAGTTTTCCAGGAGCTAGAACCATGACAGGATGTGGGGAAAAAAGACAATACTCCATAGCTAAAAAACAAGCAAGCAAACAACAAACCGACCAATTACAAAAAAATCATAGCAATGTGATTTCTTCTTTGGAAGAAAAAAGGATGAGAAATCCCAAATTTACGAGCTTTTTTTCTGTATGGAGAGAAAAGAATGAGTGACAATACAAATATCTTTAGTCCACATCTAAGTCCTGCCTGACTGTACTTCCTACAGAGTTTTTATTTTCTTTTTAATTATTGAGATGCTAGTCTGAGGATAATAAATTTTGTTTAGAATGCAAAATCAATTTAAAATGAGAAAGCCTAGCAATTAACATTTCTGTGTGTCCAATGTGGGGCAAAAAAACAGCCTATTTAGTAAGGTTTCTTTCCAGACTTCTGGGTCAAGAGGTTCTAAATAAAGATTGTCTGGAAAATGAGATGATTAAAAAGGAGGAGGGGGGGAGAAAACAAAACAGAGAGAGAGAGAACAACCAAAAGTCCAGATTTCACCAGGGTGTAAAACAGAGGGCTTCCAGAAAGAGACATAAATTAAACAACTGCTAAGTTCCACGCCCTGAGATAAAAGGATACATGCATCCAGTAGCACTGGTAACCTGTTTTGGGTTGAAACAGCTTCTGCTTAACATTACTGTAACCAATACTCAAAAAATCCATGCAAAACAAAACAAGCGTTATTTTGGCTGCCCAGCAGGCTGCAGGGACTGAAAGAGACCAGAACATGTTGTGTGGCCTGTGCCATGACTCAAAAACCAGGCGAAAAGAAGGTGTTGTACCTTGGAAGTGGCCATGGCACTGGCTGTCGGCAGTGCTCCAGAGCCGCGCAGTGCCATCCTCACTACCTGTGAGCAGGCGCTGCCCGTCGGGGCTCAGGCTCAGCCAGTTGATGCCTCCTTGGTGATCCGTGCAGACCTTCACCGCGGAGCCACCGTTCCCCATCCCGCTGGTCCCAGCGAAGGAAGGCAGAGGCTGCGGGTCAGATCATGGGCGCAGTGCAACCCGCAGACCGTGCTCCAGGCCTCCAGCCGTCTCCCACAGACCAACTTCAGCCATTACTTCAGTTCCAAAAAATCACCAGGGTAGTCCAGACGGCTGCACAGGGACACACAGGAGGAAGAGGAGAGCATGTTAAATCATTTCATCTCCCCCGTGGATACATCACTTTCTCAGCCAGGGTGCACCGAAGCCATCGAGTACCCCTTTCTCCACAAGGAACCGCAGCCCTGCTGTGGAAGACAGCCCTTCAACCACACTGATGTGCCTTCTCCATGGGCACAGAGGTTCGTCCAGCCCTTGGGAGAGGACCCAGCCCGGACGGCGGCGGTACCGCTACCAGGTGCCCTGCTCTCAGGCTGCCGGCACGCTTCTCCTTTTCGAGCAATTTCAAGGCTAACTTGGGGCACGCCGAGGAGGCGACACCTCCCAGCGAGGGAAGCCCAGCCTCAGGCGGCCCCCAACGCTCC